CTTGTTGGGAATGCAGGGAAGGTGGGGAGTAGAGCTAGTGAAGGAAGCCAGGCTCCTTTCCACAAAACAGCTCCATGGGTGGTTTGAAATGATTATTATTATTATTGTTAATAATAATTATTAATCTGTGAGTGAATGACTGATACACGAAGATGCAATTCAGAGCCAGATCTTAGTGGTCTTAGATTGTCATGCTTTATCTCTCTCTTCTTGCACAGGAAATTGGAAGTTGATAACTAAGGAAGTCTGTTTTTCAGATATATTTTATCTGAGACACTTAACTTTCGAGATACCTGTAGTTTTACACATAAGATAACTGGCTTCCATACGAAGTAAAGTCTGAATACTCGTTCAGGATGCTAGATCAGAACAAGCTTATGAATCTTTGCTGAATAATGCACACCTGTGCACTGAGAATTTTGTGTGTGTGTGTGTGTGTGTGTGTGCGTGTGCGTGTGCGTGCGCGTCTCATATCTTGTTGTCCAGACCAAAGTCTTATTCCTTGGCTCATGGGGAACATTGATTGAAGTCTGGTCTCTGCATCTTTGTACTAAGGAAGAAATGGTCCAGCAGCTGTTTCTGTTTAACAGTGGTTATCTTTGGGATTGTGGGTGTTTAGAATGTTTTTCCTCCTCCTTACTTAGCTGTAATTTGTGACTTCTTTCTACATTAATTGTATGTTAAGGAGAAGAAAGCAGTAACTTTAAATTATGATAAGTGTAATAATCAGGAAAAAAAATCCCCTCTTTCTTCTTTATTGCTATCAAGAAAGGGATGATTCTTTTGTCTTCGGTGTGGTAGTCATGGGAGAATTTAAATACCTAGGGACACTTTCATCAGTTGGGGGAAAGCTGTGGATACCTCTAGGTTAGGTTAGCCTTTTGTCTTTACCAGAGGTTCGCTTGCCAACTATTCTGTCTGCTGCCTGATGTATGGCCTTGTTGAATCCTCATCTTTTGTCATTTGGTTTACAATGGGCCTAAAATGCTCTAAGCAGCCTGCTGTGGTCCTAAAACAATGCAAGTAGCCTGAATATGATCTGGCCTTGGACTTGGGACTGTGGAACCCATATCCCACGGGGGTGGGAGGCAGATGGCCGAGTAGCAAGCAGAGATGCCACTATTACAGCTGATGTAGTCTTCCCTCTCAATGGGATGCTTCTACACACAAGATACCCAGATGAGAGACAGGTGGGCTGAGTCCTGTAAGAGCTTCCAATGGGGCCATTATTTTGACTTGACATAAATCCTCTTGAAAAAGTTCAAAAATGTTTATTGCCTGGATTTTTTTGAGCATCATGCTGTTGTTAGAAGTCACTGTTTTTTAGACTGTGATCTAAGGGGCTTCTTTCCATCCAAGAGACTACCTATAAAAGAGCATCCTCCAAGTGTTTTCAGAAGCTAACTGTCTGGTGATCTACTGAGTCTTGGGAAAATGTACAGTCATGGGTCCTGGTTGAGATCTAATCTATCACAGGGATATGGCCTCTGTTCTCCAAATGTCTCCTGTTACAATGTCTTGGCAACGAGGTGAACAGTTTCCTATGACCAGATTCATCATTTATGAGGACTTCCATGATTAAGAGTTAATGTGTGTATATGTGCTCATGCGCACACATGTGTGTGCATATGTGTATACTATGAATTATCTATCAGAAGCTTTTGTTTTATTTCTTTCATCTTTCAAGTTATAAAGTACACAGTTCCTATTTTTATAAATCTTAGGAATTACTTTAGAGGATCCAGAAACTATAACAATCTTCAGACTTGTATCTTTGGAACCCAGGCCTGGGAGGGGACCACAGACTTGTCATGGAGTTTGGGGAGGAGGTTGGGCTTGCTGTCTCTTCCAGTAATATTTATTTAGACAACTTGATTTTATATATGAATCTTCCCACTTATAAGTTCTTTTACAAAATTTTCTCAATATAAAGAAAAATGGGTAAAGGGGGAAGAAAAGGAGAACTTGATGCTGCTTATAATCACTTCCAAAGCCAAACCAATGCACCTGCTACAAATGTTACCCATCGAGGTAGAACCTTTGACCTCGCTAGTCACCCTCCCATCCAGTTATAATGAATTCTTCCACTTCATGCAAATGAGTTAATTGGTATAAATCTTTAGTTTTCATGCAAATGCTGTGGTTGCTGGTGGAAACGCCTGCGTGGACTCTGCTGAGATAGATCAGGAAATGGCCCCCACCTGACAATTTTGTATGACCCACAAAAGAGGTGGTGGTGGATTTCATGCTGCAGAACCAAATGAATTGGTCACTGCTCTGGCGAGACATTTGCAAAGATTACTTGGGGGCAAAGGCTGGGAAGAGAGGTGAACGCAGCATTTCCACTGTCTGAATCAGGGATGGTTTCTTGGAAACCTGTCATTGACAAAGCCAATTATGGAGAGGTAGAATGTCAGCTCTGACAGAATGAAATCAATGCATTCTGCGTGCATGAGTGCGTGTGTGTGTGTGTGTGTGTGTGTGTGTGTGTGTGTGCGCGCGCGTACACTGAAACATACATGCACAGGTGTTTAATGAATTTCTGCTTTGCTAGCTGGTTCTATATTCATAAATGTGTATTTTTATAAAATCTACATCTTATATTTGCCCATCCATGTACACACACACACACACACACTCCTGATTATGCTTCATTTGGGTGAAATTAATTAGCGTATTAAAAAAGAAAGCTGTTGGCTGCCACTATATTTTTTTCAGAAGGGAAGAGCTTGAGGAACCAGAGATCCCTCCTGGCTTTGCCTCTGCCTCACTTTCCTTTCAAAGCACCTCAGACTTGGGTTTCCAACTTGTAAATGGAGATTATTAAATTAGCTTCGCCAGTGGTTATCAGGGAATCACTCAGAGGTTCCAGATTCTTTGCCTTGCTGTGGTAGCTCCAGTGAATTATAATTGAGGAGTAGAGGGCTGGCAGCTAGCAGAGAAGGCAGATAAGGCCCTGGTGGTTTTGATTTACTGGGTTTATCCCCCCCCCCTTTTTTTTTCCTCCTTGACTTTGGTTTTTTTTGAGTGGTTTTGTTGTTGTTCAGGAGCGAACAGCTATTCCATGTGAAATCAAGTGTGTCTTCTGTAATATTTGTGTTGAGGGCTCAGCCAGGCCTTCTGTTGGCTCCTCGTTCTGCCCTCCCCTTAGGGGTTCCTTCCAATAAGTTCCAAAGAAGGCATATGATCGATTTCCCTGGCCTGGCCCTTGGGAAAATGGAAAATCAAGACCACAATTAGATACGGTGTCACATCCACTAGGGTGGCCAGAGTCAATAAGGTAGACCACAAGACATGTGGCGGGAGTTAGAGGAAGTGTAACCTGCCTTCGTTGAAGGCAGCAGCTTCAAATTGTTTAGGTATTTTGTAGTACAGTTTGACAGTTCCCCAAAATGATAGACATAAAGTTACCATGTGATGCAGTGATTCCATTGCTAGGTATATGCCCAAGAAAAATGACTGCATAGATCTCTATAAAATCTTGAACCTCAACATTAAAATTAAAATTATTCAAAAAATTGAGAGTCCAGATATCTACCAGTTGCTGAACACACCAATGTCATACATCCCTAAATTGGAATATTCCTCAGTCATGGGTTAGCTATACCATTATTTCATGTGAAAGATGCTAGTTTTGAAAGATTGTATTTTGCATGGCTCCTGTATATGAAATATCCAAAATGGGCAAAACCAACAGAGACAGAAAGATTAGTGGTTGTCAGGGTGTGTGAGCCTGGACTATGAGAAGTTACTGTTCGTGTTCATGAGTTCAGTGGGCATTTCTAAAATTAGTGGTGGTTGGGGAATTCTGGCTATATTAAGAGCTAGTGGATTATATGCTAGAAGGGTAGGTTCTATGCTATGTGAATTATCTTAACAAAGCCATTGTAGCAAAACCCAGACACATGTGGCGATTAGAATTCTGGGTTCTTCCGTTGCCTTTATAATGTGCTACAAAAAGATCAGCGTGCACACAAATAGCTTGTCAAAGTTTGCCTCCTCCATGCCGTTCTGTTCATTTCATTGGTAAGAGAGAGAAATCTGTGTGTGTTGCTTGACTATGTCATTTTCTTTGCTACAATATTTAGATAGGGATAAGGTTAAAGAAGTTGCAGGAAGCCTTGAGGGAGAGGCTGGCTTTGAGGAATTTGCATCCTTGACTGGTACTGGAGTAATTGGGACACGTAATTGGGAGCTGGAAGGAGGAACAAAGTCAGGCATGGTAGCACACACTCATGATCTCAGCACTGGGGTGGTAGAGGAAAACTGAGACAGGTGGATTCCTGGGGCTTGCTGGTCACCAGCTTAGCGTTTTGGAGTGTTTTGGGTGGACTCTTGGCCAACAGAAGACCCCTGTCTCACAAAACAAGGTAAACAACACCCAAGAGCACCCCCCATCTTTACTGGAAAAAAATTCACATGTGTGAAGTTATATAAAATAACTACAAATAATGATACTTTTTGTGTTTATGACTCTGAATCAGAGAGCTTTAACAACAATGAACTTATCTCCCTGTGAAGACTTTTGGGACCACATTTGTTTTAGTGGAAAACTGTTCTTACTCCTAAAGATTGTATCCATGGTTCTTTTTATGACCTGTTATGATTTTGTTGTTATTTTTCTGTTTTGCATGATTTAAGAACTTAAAAAAAAAAAGGAACTTGTCAGCAATTGTTAAATCTGGTAATATTTCTGATTAGTTGTGTGGATTTTATATATTTAATTCTGTAAATGTTATCATGGTCCATATTTAGAGGTCTGCGTGTGTGTGTGTGTGTGTGTGTGTGTGTGTGTGTGTGTGTGTGTTTGTGTGTGTTTGGAAGAAGAGGCTGGGTCTGTGTGTCAGCATCACCAGCATGCTCACCTGGTAGTCTCCAATCTCCTAGATGATTTGACATGTGTCCCTTATATAAACCAGTGTTCTCTAGGCTGTAGCTGGTGAGTGGGTTTATGGGTTGGAATCCAAAGGCTGATGACCTGCTGTGTTTGCTGCCTGCAGGAAGATCTGTCTGCACTGCAAGTGTCCCCAGGAGGAGCACATGGTGACAGTGATGCCGTTGGAGATGGAGAAGACCATCAGCAAACTCATGTTTGACTTCCAGAGGAACTCGACCTCCGATGATGACTCGGGCTGTGCTCTGGAAGAGTACGCCTGGGTTCCCCCGGGGCTGAAGCCTGAGCAGGTAGCCATCTTCCCATGCCTTTAGCTTCAGATGTTGTCTTTCCAGCATTTCCACACCCCACACTTGGAAGGGAAAGGTCGCTCTGCTGATTCAGGGTTGTTTGGCAGTAAATGAGTTAAAGATGTCCTGGGCCTCCATGGGAAATGAAGCTGAGCCTAGAATAATCCATCACTAATCCATTCTGTCTTTTCATTGTCAACCATTTGTAGACTGTCTAGAAACATCTTAGAAATGGTGAATATTAGACGTTATGTTTTGGGGTGTGGGGAGAAGTCCGATAGCGTCAACATGAGTTGTCACATTCAGATTCTTTCAAAAGGAATCAAGGACTTGCCTTCTTGGTGGTGTGTGCTGTGTTTAAATATTAAACTTGACCTTAGTTTCTAAAGACATTGCTCTTCCCTGAGATATTCCTGGCACTCGCACGGGCTGTAAACATTGCTGGCCTGATGAGAATATCTCTTGTCTTTGCTTCTCTCTGGTTTGCATTTTTCCCAGTGATACCCAGCCATGGTCTTGCATTCCATGGTCCTTGGTGTTTTCTCTCCCAGAAATCTGCAGTCAGCCTGACAGCACATCTGTAAGCGGGACCCTCTTAGCATCTCCCTGATAATGACTTTCAGAGACAGGGAGAATCTGAAAAGTGTTAACTACCATTGTCTTCCCCCCAACCATTCAATTGTTGAGAGAGCGCTGTGTCTGCCAGAGTATTTAGAAGCCTAAACAGCATGACGTTGTGTCAGAAACTTTAAGTGTGATAATGCTTTCAGGAAAAGTACTTTGTAATTAAGACCCAAGAATCCACTAATAACCGGAGAAGTGGTTCTTCTACTGTCTCTCTGATTAGCCATTTTCCATTTTCTTTGTCCATTGTCCTACTTTCATTTCTGTTTCTGTGATAAAGTACTCTGGGGGGGGGGGGGGTAAGCCGCTTTGGAAAGTAAAGGTTTATTTTAGTCTGCAGTTCCAGCTCACACTGCAGAGCTGTCTCTGTGGCAGAACTTGAGACAGCTAGTCATATCACATCAACAGTCATGAGCAGCGAGAATGGATACACTCATGCTTGCCTGTGCTTAGCTCAATTTCCCCACCCTTATGCAATTCAAGACTCTGCCTAGCAAAAGGTGCCTCCCTCAGTGGGCTGGGTGTTTCCACACCAATTAGCTTAATTGAGGCATGCCCACTAGCCAACCCAATGCAGACAATTCCTCATTAGGACTCTTCCAGGGTGACTCTAAATTGTGTCAGCTTGACAATTAATGCTGTTCCATCCAAATTGATGTACCAAAATGGCATATAAAATTGTCTTTTAGGTATGTCTAGTCAGAGAAATATTGTATAAATGTAGGACTGTTTTTCTCATATAAATTTAGAGTTTTTGCAATGCTAGAGGTTAAACAAAAAACCTTGTATACTCTAGGTAAATGTTATACCCCTGTGCTATAATTCCAGTCCATGAGTTTATATTTTCAGCTGAAATAGTTGAGGATCTAGAATTTTATTTCTGCAGAAATACAATTGCATGGAGTGGAGCACTGCCCATTCTCTTCAGACAAAATCTGCCCTTTGCAGGTCGTCTCAGTTTCTGCTCTATCCACGTCATCTTCCCACTTTATGTCCTTATATATTCTTCAACCTTGTGGTCTCCCTTCTAATCACACAGAGAAAAAGAAAGTATCTTGAACAAGAAACGGCAACAGAAAACATTTCCCGTGAGAGTTGAAGACTGCTTTCTAGGGATATTGGCCGAGCCACCTAAAGGTGCTGTCCTATAGCTTGTGGGCTGAGATTATGTGTTTCTTTTCCTCTGTCTAAAGACTGCATTGTTGAAGAATTTCTTTGAAAAGGAGAGGGTATGTGAATTTTTCTAGGTGAATTTATTGGGTAGGGTGCTGCTGACTGAATTTTATTGGCATAGCTGTTACTCTGATCTATTGAGCCTGTACACCTGGGTAGATCTGGGAGCTTGTTTCCCTGCTTACCTCACTTCCAGTAACTTCCATGTGGCCCATCATGCTTGCTGCTGAATGAGGCTCTGGATTTTCCAGTGTTCCTGCTTAAGCAGATTCTTCTGGAAGACCGCTAACAATCTTCAGCGATGCTCAGATTCCAGGAGAAAGTTCTACTTGTGTTGATCCAAGAAAACAGACAGTTGTAGAAGCTAGGATCCTGATTAACCCAGCGATTCTAATTGAGAATGACTGTGGGCCACTTGACTCATTCAGCTGTCTTGAGAAAAATGTAAAATTGAAGTTTTTAAATGTATTTTGAAGGAAAATGATGAGCACCCTTAAACAAATGGTTGGAATTGTGCCAATTGAAAGAGTGTTCCTATCTCTTGTGATTGTTCATCAGGAAGTCTTCCTTATTCCCAGCACTTATGAAACCTCTGTGATGCACAGAACTAGAAAGGAAAACTGCTCCCCAGAGACAGAATATCAGGGTTTTTGAAGGGTTCTGTATTTACCCAATAAAATGTGAGTCTACTTTTTAAAGTCTTTGAAGAGGTCATGTTGAACGATAAACATAGGTTCCAGGTTTAAAAATTTGAGCTCTTTTAAAGTTTGTTATTTACAAAGATATTTATGGGCATAAAGATTTTTAAAGGCTGTCTGGTATGCACTTAGATTAGAAAGAATGTGATGCCTAAGTGCCTTTTTCTTAACAAAAGTTGGGCTGATGCCAGGCGATAGCGGTGCACACCTTTAATCCCAGCACCAAGGAGGTAGAGGCAGGCGGATCTCTGTGAGTTGAAGCCAGCCTGGACCACATAGTAAGCTCCAGGACAGCCAGGCCTACACAGTGAAACCCTGTTTTGACCCCCTCACTAAAAAAAATAAATAAAAAATAAAAATGTTCTGGTGGTTAATATCATGGTAGTTGTCTATGATTTGAGAGAAACCATTTTCTATCAAGAGAAATTAAGGTGAATATGAAAAATGTTTTGTGCTAGAGGCAAAATATTAAAGACTAATTAGGGTGGAGAATAATATACTTTAATTTTGGTTTGAAATCTTTCCTCCCCATGATCACGAGGCCAATGGGATACCTTCAGCTAATGTTCTTTATTATTCTTTCTCTTGAGTAACTCCTACAATTTAATAAAATGTGTGTGAAATTCATCTCACATTTAGAGACGTATTCTTGAACATGGGCATTTAATTTCATAAAAATCGTCAAAAACACTCTTTCTTAAACTAGTGTGAAAGTCGTGAGAGGGTGGTCGCCTGGTGGCTTCAAATGACTCAGAACTGGTGGCAGCTGTTCCGGTCCTCTGCTTCAGCTCCCACTGTACTAAGGTGTCCGTGTTCTTTGGAGAACCCTGGGATAGCCAACCAGAGAGCCGCAGTCTACCCTTAGGAGGCCACTGGGAGTCAGTTTCAAGGCTCTGGTTTTTGTTCAGCCTCAATTAATAATTGGAGCCATCTTCTATAAATGCTTTGTGACAAGGTTACAATAGATAATCATGAAGAAGCTTAAATAAAACGAATAACGAGATTTCTCACTGTTGGCATTTCTAGATGGATAGTTCTCATCTTAGGAGAACTTCTCTGTATTAAAGAATGGCTAGCCTGAGTCATCACGTCCACCTACAGGTGTCAGGTGTGTTTCTTAGTTGAGATAGCCAACTATGTCTTTAACATTGCCGCATTTTTAAAGAATGAAATAGCCATTGGATGAAAGTGATATCAAAAGTTGGAGTGTGAGGGACTGAACAGATGGCTCAGGGGCTAAGAGCATTTGTTGCTCTTGCAGACGTCCCAGATTCTGTTCCCAGCATCCATGTGGTGGCTCACAAGCATTCATAACTCCAATCCCAGGGAATCTGACCCCCTCTTGTGACCACTGAAGGCACCACGCACACACATGGTAATATACCTATATGTAGGCAAAATACTCATACATAAAAAAAAAAACATGTCATGTAGCTGTAGATATACAGAAAGATACTTGGAGTGTATCTCACCAAGACCCTGGTTCAGTTAAGGCAAAAGAGGATGACTGTACTTAACACATATTCATTTAACACACATTATACTTTGGCTCCTGCATACCAACTGCTGTCTTGTAATACGGCCAAGTGCTGGTAGAGTACTAGGCCCACTGGGTGGAGTACTAAACCGACTGTGTTTGAGGCTGTCTTCTCCACTAAGTCAAAACCAAAATTGGAATTGGGGGAGGGGCTGTTGTGAGTTGTTCCCCAGTTTGGAAATAGCTTTCTTCCTCTTGTTATTAAAGGAAGATATATAGTCCAAATAAAAAAATGGTGGGAGCCAAAGAGATGGGACAGTGATTAAGAACACTTGCTTCTCAAGTATGAGGACCAGAGTGTGGTCATCTGCACACACGTATGTATCTATACTCAGACATGCACATAAATAAACAAGATAAGACAGATATTTTCTAAAAGAAAATAGGAAGCCTCTATAAAACAGCAAATGAAAATCAATTCCACCAAAAGGAGAAAATTATATCCTAAGCTTTTTAGTGTGTTCAAGTATCCATGTACAGAGAGAGAGCTGTCCTTTTATGTTGGTTTGGATAAAAATGTGTGATGACCTTCTCCACCTTCCCTAATCCGACTCTTGCCTTTCTTGATTATGACCATTTTCCTATATCAGCTTACTTCAAAGCTAACTCTCTTCTGTCGTAATTAGGTTTCCCAGCATCTAATCTGAAGTGTCACCCACCACTAGGAGGCTGAAACATTTGGAAGTATATTTTGGGGGTTTAGGGGGAGTAAGTTCTCTAAAGGACTGGCAGATTCTACTGGTCTATGACTAGGACTTTGCAGTACTGAACGGCTTAAAAACTGTCAGATGACCTAGGACAAAGGACAATGGCCACCACTGATGTCAGGAGCTCGAGGTTTGATTTGATCACTGCTTTGTTAATAGTTTACATCTGAGTGGCCTAAAACAGCAGTAACTGTGTAGGTCTTGGAAACAGCCCTTCTCCTCTTCTTAAGAACAGCCGTGTAAGCTACTCTAAGGCATTTG